TGAATTTAAGCTAACTAATCTTTTATCAATGACTTAAAATACTTTATGCTTATTTAAATTAAAACATTAAGTTTTTTTGTGTTCTTTGCATATAGAATTACATATTAATTAGAATTTAACTTTTAGTGATCTTGCTTTTTAGTGAAGAGCAGAAACTTATTCTTTTAAATACCAATAATTCATTAAAATACAATCATTAGTAGACCCAAACACATATATATTCTTATAGAATTTAAGAATACTTGAACTTAGCAATTGATGTTTCAATATTTTTTTAAACATTTATTTTTTTAGTTGTAGGTGGACACAATACCTTTATTTTATTTTTATGTAGTACTGAGGATTGAACCCAGTGCCTCATGCATGCTACGAGCACTCTATCTCTGAGCTACAACCCCAGTCCCTGATGTTTCAACATTTTCACTTACAAATGACTGAGATGTTTTTCCTAACATATACATTTAAAAATGTTTATTCCATTTATGTCTATCTAATTTACCCACTTCAATAGTTATTTTTAGATTACCCAATAAAACCAGGGTATCAAACACAGTTAACATTTTAAATTATTAATATTATTAGTAGTAGTATTTGCCAAAGAAAAACCCTAAAAGCAATGGATGCTGTATTTCAAACATCTTAACAGAGGCAAATATAGTCCTGATTGGTGAGTAACCTAGGTAAAAAAAAATTGTGTTCATTATTCCAAAGATATCTTTACTTTTATCTAACAAGTTTAAATTATTTTTAAGGATTTACATAAGTTATTTGAACTCAAAGTCATATGAATTTATGTCCTTTAAATTTATGAGCGCTTATTTATGTGTAAGCTAATTTGGTACCATGTAGGCACAATGTACAATACACACACGTACAAAAACATACAAAAAATGTTACAGTAGGTAGACAGATGTGAGTAGGATGATGGGAGAAGGGAGAATAGGGCTCACTCCATCTTGAGTGATAATATCACTCCACTTTGTGGAATGAAAAACTCCACCCATAATCACCACTGTCATAGGTACTTTTTTTATCAGGGCTAGATATGGAAACCAGGGCCTCATGCAACTAGATAAGTGTTCTACCACTGAACTATATCCCCAGCCCTATATACTTCCTTCTTAAAACTAAAAAGAAATGGAACTTTCCTATTTAGGAGTATGCACAGAGAACTGAGGCACTAAGCCATAGCAGAAAGCCATGTTAACCGCCCCAAATGAAAAATTCATGGTGGGAGGATCCCAATTAGATCATAAAACCTTTCAATGCAGAAGACACAAGGCTGCTTCCTTTCTTAGAATGGTAGCACTGTGTTCTCCCTGGGGTGTTACTATCTGGGCTTTTTCTCCTGCCACTCTATGATGTAAATTAGCTTTTTGCCTCTTCTGATCTTTGCAGTCTTGCCCTTGTTAGTGCAAAATACAAGTGCATCAGTTAGCTCAGAAGGTTGCAATTTTGAAGTGGAACCTCTACTAAAATGGGGATCAAATTCAAGGAAGGAGAAAGTGTTTGGAGAAAAATCCCATCTGGCACTCCAGGTGGTTTTATGTTTGATGATTATGGTGCCTCAACTTGCAAGTACTTAAAAAAAAATGGGGAACATTTGATATTTCTAAGTTGTTTTTCCTGAGTGCTGATCTAGGTCCTTGGGCTAAAACAAAAATGTACAAGAGAGTTAATAATAATTAGTCCACTATTCAGGACAGCCCCAACAATGGAAACAGCCCAAATACCCACCCATAATAGAAGAGATAAATATGCCATATTATCCATAATGAACAAACTACCAACTTGCATGGTACTATGGAGAATCTCAACCATAATGTTGAGTGAAAGAAGGCAGAACACCTGGTTAAAGAGTAGATTCCGTTCATACAAAGTTGAAAAGCAAGAAAACCACAGTGTTAGAATTCAGGCACTCTTCAGGGAGAGGGAGAAAATATAACTGGGAGAGGATAAGGGGACTTTCTGGGGCACTGGCCATGCTCTATTTCTAGACCTAGATGGGGCTACAGGTGTGTTCACTCTGATAATTCATCTTATAACTTGTGCACTTTTCTTTTGGTAAGTCATATTGTACTGAAGATATAAAACAAGCTGGGCAGCCCTGCTTGTCAATCTGTGCACTCCTTACTACTGCAGTCAGTGTGGACAGGTGTCTACCTCCAGGGTCAGCATGTGGTGAGATCAACAGTAACTGCTCCCAGGCACCAGTTCATGTAATTTTTATGAGTTCTCCCAGAAGTTGAGGTGCTTTTAAGGTCTTTATATCTCCATTTAACAAGTGAGGAAACTAAGGCTTAGGGAGAGCAATAACTTGTCCAAAGTCCCAGGCTGGTTAAGTAGTGGAGGAAAATTCAAATAGGACTCCAAAGCTCATGTTCTTGGCCACAAGATAGGAGGGAGTGTGCTGCATTGCCACTGTGCTCTTAATCGAGGGAGTCCTTATAAACACAGCTGCTTGAGATTTGGCTTTAATTTATTGCAGCCAGTGAGCCTGATACAAATATTGAAGCAACATCACAACAGTCTCTGCACAGAAATACTAAGAAGATTTTCACTCTCAAAATCTGAAATATGAGGAGGCTGGGGTTGTGGTTCAGCGGTAGAGCACTCGCCTAGCACGTACAGGGCGCTGGGTTTGATCCTTAGCACTACATTAAAATAAAATAAGGGTATTGTGTCCAACTACAACTAAAACAAAATATTTTAAAAATCTGAAATATGAGACGTTATTAACAAGTATTAATAACTAATAACTTGTCATTTAGGCAGATATATACCTTTTTATTTTGCATCAAAAATATGCTGAGCACTAGAAAATACAGAGGCAAGAAATAATCTGTTCAGAGAAAAAATTAACAAAGAGTGCAATGTTACAATTATTTCAGCCAAAATAACCTGAAATTCTTTCCTAGGGTGCAAAAATGCTGGCTATTTCTGAAAAAAGAAATCAAATTTAATTCCTTTAAAAATATATAAAACTTTTCCTTTATTTTATTACTGGAAATTAACCCCAAAGTGCTCTACCACTGAGTTACATCCCCAGCAATGCCCCCTCTTTTTTATTATTATTATTTTTTATTTTGAGATAGGGTCTTGCTAAATTGCCCAGAATAGCCTCAAAATCACAATCCTTCTGCTTCAACCTCCCAGGTGTCTGGAATTACAGGTGTAATCCCAGGTGGGATTACAGGTCAGCACCACTATGCTCAGCTATATGAAATTTTTCTAATTGCAAATGTAATAGATGTTCATTAGAGAAAAGTTAGTGAATGCAAAAAAAGTACAAGGACAATGATAGCTGTAAAGACAGCAATATTACCATTTTTTAAGAAAATCTACCAAGTGTCTCACTCAGGTATATATACACAAGCCCTCATTTCATTTGCTACCCCTTTCCCAATCCCATTCTTTCCCTTCCTTGAGGAGTCTGCACTTGCTATTCCATTAATCAGTTCTTGGAAAGGCTGGCTTCTTAAACTTTAGACGTCAGCAAAATGTCACTTAGAAGAATCCTTACCTGACCCCTTATCTCAAGTTAAGTTTCCTCAGCCCTTGTTTTCTATCACATCCTTCTTATTTTCTTCTAAGCATTTAACGCTATCTGGATTTTCTTTAAAAAAAAAAAAAATTGGTGGGCTGGCCTTGTAGCTCAGTGGTAGAGTGCTTGCCTAGCACTTGTGAGGCACTGGGTTCAAGCACCACATATAAATAAATAAAATAAAGGTACTGTGTCCATCTACAACTAAAACTATATTTTTTAAAAATTGTGTTGATTGTCTGTTCCCTTCAAGAGAATGTGAAATTGGACTGTAAAAAGACCTGACCAATCTTGTTCCCTTCCATAGCCCCACTGTCTCGCACATGGTAGACGCTTGGGATACCGACATACAGTGCAAAGTTTGGTGATGAACATTGTTTTCTTTTTTTTGGATTGAGGATTGAACCCACAGGTGCTCTACTTCTACTACTGAGCTGCACCCTTAGTCCTTTTATTTTTTGAGACAGGGTCTCTCTAAGTTGCTCAGGGTCTCACTAAATTTCTGAGTTTGGCTTTGAACTTGTTACCCTACTGTCTCAACCTCTCAAACTGCTGGGATTACAGTGCAGTGTGTGCCACTGTGCCTTGCCCTTTTGATTTTTTGAGACAGGGTCTGGCTAAATTGCTTAGGCTGGCCTCAAACTTGGGTTCCTTCTGCCTCAGTCTTCCAAGTCACTGGGATTATTTATAGGCACATGCCACTGTGCAAGCTAGTAATGAACTTTTATCCACTTAATAAATATTCCTAAGAATGAACTGAATTTAAAAGTAAACTCCTGAATTTGTTCGATTATGCTTACTTTTCTCTAGGCATCTCCTAATAACAAAGCATTATTCTAATAGCTTCCCCAATTCTGATCATATGCATTTCAAAAGGGCCAGAGAGGAAAAAAAACCTAAAAAAACAAATTTTAATTAAACTTTAAGCCCAAGCATGCTAGATTGGGGTCATTCCAAGAAAACACAAGTGCAAACTAAACCACTGACAGTTGTGCAACATTCTAATTTTTCTTCTACATAAAAGAAACAATGGGGGCTGGGGATGTGGCTCAAGCGGTAGCGCGCTCGCCTGGCATGCATGCGGCCAGGGTTCGATCCTCAGCACCATATACCAACAAAGATGTTGTGTCCACCGAAAACTAAAAAATAAATATTAAAAAAATTTTCTCTTTTTTTTTTTTTTAAGAGAAACAATGGTGCAAAGGGGCTGGAAACCCTAATTGCCTAATAAAGATCCTGTAAATATTAAGTTAAATACAAATCACAATTACACACATCAAACACATCCTTTCATTTATAAAGGAGGAAAAAAAACCCACATATCAATATCCATCCTTGAGGGAAATTTCCCTAGTAGTACCTCTCAAACTAAACACATAAATTCATAAAAAAGCAATATAATTGAGTCTATTATTCATTAGACTCAGTTAAATGCCTAATTATCTTCACACCCTACCTCTGCTTTATGCTTGATGACCTCTGATTACATTAGAAACAAGCAAAGCCAATGACATCTGGCCACTGCTTTTCTTTTTCACTCTTCTTGAACCCAGAGGTTCTCACTTTGCTATGTATTACATAATCTTCTGGAGACCCTGAAAAACACTGAAAGCCAGACAGTATTTCAAACCAGTGAACCAATTTCAGAGGGTGGTGGGGCTCAGGTGGCATTATTTTTAAAGCTTCCAATGTGCTGCCCTAGCCCCTCACCTCTCTAAAGTGCAGTACATAGACACCACCTGGAGGATGCTAGGAACGCAGACCTTCAACCAGCCACCAACACCCCCACAGACTTTCTGAATCAGAATCTTTTAAACAACATCTCCAGGTGATTTGCATATTGGAAGTCTGAGCATCATCAAATACCCACTTAGGAAAATTAACCTTTTAAAGCTTCAGTTACCTCATCTGTAAAATAACAGCAATAATATCGTCCTCATGGGCTTACTATGAGGACTAAATGAAATAAAACGTGCTAAATGTGGAGGTTAGGGCTGGGCTGGCACCGAGATAAGCAGATGGTGCTTATCTTGTATTAATACAAGTCCACACTCTAGGCTTCCTCTAATTCATTCTTACTTGCCTACATTGGTTCCATTTACAAACTCCACTGCTAGCTCCCAAATGTGTCTTATATGATACCAACTTATATGATACAGTTAAATATGCAAATAAATCCTAGTGGATCTAGTTTCTCCTTCCAAGCAGTAAGCCTTCTCCTAGAGTTCAAGGATTCTAGTTCTTCTAGGATGTCAAATGCCTGATGTTGTTTCTCTGCAAATATAAGTTCTCATACATTCCTGACGGTAGACTTTCTGGTTTCTTCTCTCACATGCTCTCCTCTTCTGTAATCCTTCTACCTGCCTCATAGTCTTCCTGCAACTGAACTATTTTTTTTCTAGGTATGACTTGTACTGTTAAAAGTCCTATAATAGGCACTTCTAGCAACTAGCAGAGAGCAACAAAGTACATGAACCTTTTCCAACTGATGCTTGAGAGGTTAATGTCTCAATAAGCTTCCCTTATAAGGTCACTTTTCAACAATGGAGAAATTGCTAAATGAAATTATGTTAATGAATTTATATTCCAAATAACCCTGAGTAGGTTACTGGGCTTCTGTAAATATTTTTAGTAAACAGACACCAAAGTAGTGCCCATCAGGAGTTAGCGGAGACTAAATGCCTCTCTCTGATTATACTCATCTCCATTTTCAATAGGGTTCCTTCACCAGAAGGTCAAGGGAAGCCTTAGATAACACTCAAGAATTAGCTTCTGGAACTGGACACTGAAAGATCCTTCTGAACAAAATAGAAAAATGTGAGTCTAATGACAGTGGCTAGATGGCTTCAAAATTGGCCAATCCATCATAGCTGGGTTTCATTTTGGCATACATTTTTAAAAACGGTTCAACTTTTAAGAATAAATCTGAGGTATTGAGTTTAAGGGAAACATAAAATCACGTTGAATACCTCTTTCTGTGGCCCTTACACATTCTCAGTAGATAGTGAGTACAAAGTACCTCTACTCCATTGCCATTTCCCAATTTTGCCCTTGAAATTCCCGCTGGCTGCAGCAGTACCACTCTCGGGTGTATTCTGAGATATATGGAAGAATGTCTTTCATTCAAGCCTCAAGAAAAGGGAAGCCTGTTGCCTTGATATGCTGAGGTAGAAGACACACCTGGGTTTTTAAAGAAATGTTTAAAAAGATACATTATATACTGTTTATAAACAGGGTACTACTTTCTTGTAGGTAGAACAGTCCCTGAATATGGGAATTTTATAGATTTGGGGGTTGTGGCATGCAACCCAAAGCAAGCAGGAACAGAGACTGGGATAGCCTTGGGATTCCTTGGAAGGAAAAGAAGTGTGGAGCAAAAGCAGACACACCTCTGCACTCAGGGGGGTATAGTCTGAGAACACCGTGTTACAGAGTAGCCAGTAGGAAAGCAATGACTGGATGGGTCAGGGAAGCCAGGAAAACTGGAGCAAACAGTACACAAATCAGATAGAAGAGCAACAATACTGATTTGAAAGCTGGCCTTTTTGTCTCTGTTTTATTATAAACAGCTTTACCCACTGGAAGAAGAAGAGGAACCTGCTCTAGTTGACATTACATCCCTTCATTTCCCTGAATAAGGAATGTTACAAATCTTTATCATTCTCTTCTGTCAGGCTTAATCATCAACTACTTTCCCCTTAGTATTTTCACTCATTCATTCATTAGTTCATTCACTCAAGTCCTGTGTGAGAGGCAGCAGCAGTGAAGATGACAAGTCCTGCCCTCAAGTTAAACTGAACCTTATGAATGAGGCACACCTGAAGAAGATTGGGGGGGGGGAACGTGACCACTCAGCTCAAATATCTCCAAAATAATTACCAGAGTGCTGGGCAGGGAACCGAGTATGCCCTTCCAGAATGTGCTGATATCCAATAAAATTAGAGAGCTTGCAATAGTATAAAGGAACTATTTAATACTGTCAGAGTCAGTGATAAATCTTCAAAAGCAAAATCCACAACCAAAATACCAAATACAGTTTTACATAAAAGAAATAATTTGAGTCTTTGCTTTCCCATTGAGAGTAAGTGAATGCAGAACTATGAAATGTTTTAACAGGATTGGTGCTTCTTTATACTACAAGAGCCTGTTCAAAATGTATAGCTTAGGAGTGTTGTAGAAACCAATATTTTAGCCTGGGGTGGGTAAAATTTGTTTTACATAAAAACCCAGATAGTAAATGCTATCTTTGCAGGCCATGTATCCTCCATCTGTCTTTGTACAGAAAATAGTCACAGAAAATATTAAACAAATGGGTGTGGCTATGTTCCCTGCAGATACCCAAATCCATGGATGCTCAAGTCACTCACATAATAGCATAGTATTGCACATAACCTCTGCATATCTTTAATTCATCACTATTTTATACTTTTATTCATCACTATATTACTTATAATACCAAATGCAATGTAAATGCTATGTTTAGGAAATAATGACAAAAAAAAGTCTGCACATGTTTGGCACATTTTTTCCCCAATATTTTAAGTCCATGGTTGGCTGAATCTACAGATATGGAACTTATGAATCCCATGGGATGACTATATTTACAAAACAGGCCTAGTCTGCAAATGTTTGTTCTAGTCCTATGAAATGGAATCCCTTGGGGCATCAATAAAATCTCCCAAAATATCTCTTCCCTTGGTTTCCTCATGATCCTTAAGGGCCGTGCTACTGAAAGGAGATCCTAGTCAAGCTGGTAACATATTCCCTACATGAAATAGTTCCTGGAGGGTGGGCATGGCTGGTATTAATCACCTGGGCTGTGGATGCAACAGGAGGGCAAGAGTCCTTGGCTTCCTAGTTTACTACCTATGTTAGGGGTCAGAAACACATGGGATGGTAAACACATGGGATGGGATGATTAAAAAATCTGCACCAGCTTTCTAGTTTTTATTCTTCAATGTCTCAGAGCTTCAGGGAGCTCAAATTTTTCATTTGTCAGCCTTTCAAGACCCTGCCCTAGAGATGTTCTGTGACTTCATCTTCCTCTCACATGACCCCTACATATCACCATACCTTCATCTTCCCCTTTTTCCTCTAATTCACAATGTGCCAAGAGATGCAGTAACAAAAGCAAATCAATATTTATAATATGTAATTTTTATTAAAAATAATTGTCAAAAATCCCAAAAGAGATGTCTAGCAAAGAGCCTACAAAACTGCAACTTTTTTTTTTTTTTTAATGTGGCACTAGGGATTGAACTGGGAAGATTGGGTACTCTACCACTCAACTGTACCCTCAGCTCATTTTTATTTTTTTATTTTGAGACAGGGTCTCATTAAGGGATCCTCCTGCATCAGCCTCCCAAGCTGCTGGGCTTACAGGTATGTGCCACCATATGCAGCCTGCAATTTTTGAATGCATCTGTTACACAAGATTATATATAAGGGTACCCTGTTTGATCACACATGTTGACTTCAGTCATGTGGCCATACAACGTGGTTCTTTACCATACAATGGGATCTAATACACAGCAAGCAATAATAACCAACAATACCTACGAAACTGCAATAGAAAATTGTATTTGGCCTGGATATTATATAGTGGTGAAAAAAGAGTTTCTATCTGAATCATCCAATGGTGGACAGAACAAAGAGGTTGAGCATGGGGGAAAGGCAAATTATTTACCAGAAGGGAAAGATGAACGTATTCAGTGCATCATTTTCTCAGAGATGAAGAGAATTGAGTCTGAACTTGAATACAACCCACCAAATTAAATAGAGCTTGAATCTTGCCTTCTTCAAACTCTCTGGAGAAACATGCTAGAATATATTATAACAAACATTGCAGCTGCATCAATGATACCTAAAACCCAGTAAAGGGCACTATAATAGACCTTTTCATCAACTAAGATAATTTTTAAATTAAAAATAAGATATACTTACCTGTAGAATTTCAGATGAGATTAAATCAATAGCTGAAGTTTTTTGTGGTTTTCTGTATTCCATTCTTTAATTAAACATTCAGATTTGCTGTGAAATACTTAACAGAAGAAAAAGATTATATTGTGACAAAACTGGTACTATAACATCTAAAATCAATGTTCTACACTTAGAAAATTGCTATAGAAGTAATTATGTATCAACACTTTTTTTCAATTTTGGAAAAGCACTGATCCCTTCTTCTACCTCCTGGCTCTCAAATAACCTCATGCTCTAATCTGGAATTATATTTGGTCACTGTTTGATAACAGACTATTTTTAGGGCTAGACTTACCCAATGACCATTCATTCTGAATGAGGTTTTGTCTAACAGGGAAAAAAAAAAAGCAGACTCTATTACATATTCCCATCTCTTCCATAATTTGTGTTTCTATCAGTCATCAACACATTCTGAGAGCAGGAGCTCAGCTCCCTGTTTGAGCCCAAGATACCTGGGGAGCTGCAGAGAGGAAAACAAACAAACTTGTTTTTGGTTAAAGGCTGCCAACTCAAATCTTCCTTACTTCTGGAAACAGAAAAAAAAGGCATGGTTGGGCAATTTTCCCCCCTTACAAAGGAGTCACTCCTAAAGGCCGGCACAGACGGCCAGATCTGCTCTGCAAAAAAAAAAAAAAAAAAAAAAAAAAAAAAAAAAATCTCTAGCCTGGTCCAGTAGTGAAAAGAATAAATACGAATGCAACGATTACCTATGCACACTGCTGGCATCATTCCTTACTGCTTGGAAAAGTGAGGCAACATTGCACCTCCAAGATTTCTTTTAAAATGCTAGTATACTACTCATTAAGACCGCCTCTTAAGAATCATGCAGCCCCAGCCCCTCTGGGTTTCCTTTTTCTCTTCCCCTCCCCC